CCGAGAGGGTTCTTGAGCTTGTGCCGCCAGAGATGCTGGACGGCAAGAAGGTGCAGAAAGCCTTCCATGTGACGACGCTGTACCTGGGTCGTGACGCCTGCAATGACCCTGTCCTGCTGCAGCAGCTGGTGGGGCTGCTGGGCGAGTCCATTGAGCTCACGCTGACGAGCGTTGCGTCTGATCCGAAGGGGACGGCGATCGCGGTGCGCAACGAGGGAGAGTTCCCCTGCGAAAATGTTCATCCGCACATCACCATCGCGAACGCGCCGGGTGTTCCGCCTGTGTACAGCAACGAGCTGCTGGACGATTCCCATGCAGATGACCCGTGCCGCACCGTCGTCAGTCTCCCCGCCGGCACACGCATCACCGGGACATTTGTCTTCAGGTAGCCGTGAGAGACACTGCGGTGCTCGCCGCTGGCTGCAGTGGCATCCTCTTCCACCCCATGCTGGGCTCGTGGGGTGCTGGTGGCCGTGGTGGTGTAAGCACCTGCTTTGTGACTGCATCGCCGAGTGTAGTGCATGACGTTCTCACACTCCCGTGGCGACCCCGCTTCCCACATTCAGTATTGTGATGGTTCTATGGACTTCCGCTGTTGTTTTCTAGGAGCTTGTGGATGGAATGATCGCGGGGAAGGCTGGCTATTTAAATTAATATGTATCCTGGTAAAACGAATACACCTTTTTACGACATTTTTATACCGTATGATTTTTGGCAAGAACACGACTTTAGGGGATTAGGGAACCGATAACCGCCAGATAATTTCGTAAATTTAATTTTACCATCTCACCCACTCCCTTTTGATTCCCACATTGCGGTGGGGTCTTGTGGCTGGAGAGCCCCAAAGTTTGACACTTCGTAAATTATTATTAATATATATATATTTGTATGTATCCAATCCGAATAGGGTGCAGCATGTCACGAGAGTGGCTATCGGAATACATATGTGTATATATACTTACTTGGGCAAAGCTTGAGGGAGTGGTGAGCCCACTGCTTTTTCACTTACCCCTTCTTCCTCTTGTATTGCTTGATTTTCGTAAATAACTTTACGATCCGGTCAATCGCCCTAGGCGAATATTTGCTTCTGTTTGCTCTTACCTTCCTCTGGTGCGAATTGGTGTGCCTCTTTGATTGGACTTCTTCCTTATGCCCCAAGCAAGGCGACACATGTTTTATTATGGCGGCTGCGCGCCACAGCCATCCATCGCTTCCTTCGCCGGCGGTGCCTTTGATTGCTGGTTTGCGTGGCGAGGTGCTAATTTGTGCGACTGCTCGTGTGACCCACTCGTGTTGCAGGATGGCTGTGTGGGAGGAGCTCGTTCATTTTCACGTTGCCGCGTAACTGAGGGTGAGTGCTGGTAGCCACTGAACGGCGTTGCGCCTTGTGTGCCGGCTGCTGTGCTTCCACGTTGTGCTGAGATGCTTGAGGGGGCAATTGTTTTCCTTTTTTGTTTGCATCCCACTCGTCTGGTCATGGCGGCTGCAACGAGACTCTGCGGCAGCCTGATCGT